GGGCAGAGTGAAATAACGTTTTCGCTTAGTAATTCAATGATCCGAACAGGAAAAAAACACAACTCCTCATTTTAAATTCCATCAAGCGATACGTGTAGCTCAAACGAGCGAAACGCCAAAAAAGTCGAACTACGAGTAACATCCAATTCCGAAATTAAATGCTCTTTAGGTATATCGGAAATTGTTGATTTGTAGTGTTTGGACGTAGAAACAGTGAAGCTTTTTGTTTTAAACAAGTTTGATGTTCCAGACAAATCGTTGAAAAAGAAATCAAGTAGGCGCGAATGGGTGCTCACGTCATACTAACCAAAACTACGATGAGAAGCGGCCGCCATAACTAAAGCTAAGCTCGTAAAACTGTTTTCGGTCTCCTCGCGCCGACTTAATGGTTGTATTCTAGCAAAGTTCGTTCACCTCATAGATGGATGACGGATGTAAAAAAAGTATCAAGCTTTGGGGCGTTTACAGCGCTTACCAATTAGCTGTTAAGCTTTGCCTTTAAGTTCCAATGTAAACCTTATTGCTTGTAGATAAAATAAGACGGGTTCGTGTGGTATTATTAGCCTATGCTTTTAAGGATAATGTACGGTTGGTTTAATGGTTCGTATTATCATCTCACAGAAAATGCTTGTGAAACTACTTAAAAACTTGGGAGACCTTAAGGAATTCAAAACTTTGGAGAGGAAGAATCGTATCATATTAAACAATCTTAAAAAAAAAAACCTTTGACGTTTTGTTGATGATTGATAACTGCGAGAAAGATGAAAAAACCACGAAACAGATGAAGATAACGTACAAAATATCAAACACGATGTTATTGGTTGCATAAAACTTGCACGTTAAACACGAAGTATGCAGAGAGAGATAGCCAAACTGTTGCGTCACTCAAATGAATGGACGTGCCGTACCGTACGCAAATGCAGTGTGCAGAATAAATTGACTAAATTACCAGGAAACAGAGGTGAAGGGTAGGAGGGCGAACGGCAATCCACGAAATCTAATTCAGAAACTACTTTCGAAGTAACGAAAGTGAGAGCTGTTGTAAATAGTAGAATAGTAAACCTGCTTTTTCGTATAGATTTATACATTTATTTAATGCCAGTATGCCTGTTACAAGTAGTTCAAGTATGAAGTAGAGATTGTATATAAGAGTCGGTCTGTTACGATGATTGATAAGGAAATACTCCATCAGCATCGATGTAAAAATTTAAGTGGAGTCCAGTTGGAAACATTTTAAGAGTCAAATGCGTAAAGAATTTTCCTCCTTGTTTACAGCTGTTGCATAAGAACGATATTCTCATTAGGTGATTAATTCTAATCGACTAATTTGGTAAATGAAATAGTATTATAATTAAGAAAGAAAACAATTTAATCTGCAATAATGGATCAATGTGATAATGTAAATAAAGTAAAGATTAAAAAAAGAAAGAAATAAAGAATTCGTTAAGATTATGGTTATAAGTTATGGATCATAATTAAAAACGGCAAACAAAGTGGAGCTGCCAATGTTTTAGAAGTAAATACTTCGATGAATATAGAACTTCACGACAATGCAAGAACATTATTTGATGTACTTACTGCACAATCTATTGAATTCATGGATCATGGCATTCGTTGTACTAATATGAAGTTAGGGGCAAACCCTCATTGCATAACCGGCTGTATGACTAAACGCCCGCATCGCATCGGTATGCGTAGGATACGGTATTGAGGTCGTTGGAGGTCGCACATATGGCCATTGGTTTACGCACATCCGCGTTTCAAAAACTAAGTGCGTTGGCCAACAACCCGTTATAGAGCTGCCAATTAATTGGCTCTATAACTCTGTTTTCGATTAGACTTGTTTTAATATTTCAAAGGCGAGGGAAGAGAATTTTGTTCCATTAGTATTTTCCAATGCCATCCCCATGTCCTCTAAAGTATCAAAGTTGCGTAAAAATAAGTAAAAAAGTTATTTTTTATAGATATATGTATTTAAAGTTTCGCGATCTTTTTGCCAGTCCTCAACCATGTTTTCCAAAATATACAAAAAAAATGTTTAAAGTTCAAGTCGAAACATACATTTTGAAACTGTATCGAGTTTTAAATGTCAATTAAGTATTTAATAATAAAATTTTAATTTTTAATAACTATATTTAATTTTTCATTAAATGGGAAGTGAACACATGATGATAATGAGCACACGGAAGTATAAAAAGCAATGAAGACATTATGTCAAATAAAATTAACAGAGAAACAGCTTTCCAGTATTTTCAGTATGATCTTATCTCGTGGAAGAAATAGTTGAAATTCTACCACAATCAGACAGCACGAGGTCGTCAGTACTCAAGCTTGTCATCAAACACAATAATGCTGGGTTATGTACGTTTCCTTTCTATTACAGTTAGCATTGTAGAGTTATCTCTTAGCTTATTCATTTATGCGACCACAATGAATGAACGAGATCCATTCACACATCCCGGGTTTGTCCTTCAAGTCATTCGGAGCAAATATGAAAGAGCCATTCAAGACACTGACTTGTTTTAAGCAGTTATTACTATTCAAAAGTCAGAGTGAGATGTCTTATCTTTTACTAACGTCTTCCGTCCCGCTCGTGGGATTACTACTTTATTGTAGACAACAATGGATGGAAGCTTCCGGTGCGTACCGTACATTCATTGTATGAGGTTATAAGCTAAGTCTTTCTTTAGCCACTTCATTCGATAAACTTATGTTTTAACTTAATGTTAAGTCCTGATGATATAACACCCTTTGATTATACCTATTATATAACATCTTCAGTTTTGAATGTTTCTTTTGAATGTTCACAAGCTTTTACAGAAATTAAGTTCTACAATAATCAGTGTACATGTGTATATATAGCAATTAATTCATTATCTGATAAGTTTACAGTCGATGCAGTGTCACAAAAGTAAGTATATCGCCCAGACTTATATTGATTGAAAGCAGCTGTGTATTGTTAAACATAAAGTGGTGACTCACGAGTCTGGTATTCCGATTCACAGATGCTTACAACGGAACGTTGATTTATCATTATCTCCTACCAGACGCTCAATTGGATTAAAGATGATTGTATTACTGGGAAGAGCAAGTGTTTGATGTAATAAGGGTACTACTTGACGTCCATAACATAAATGGATGCTGACCAACTTTTTTTTTCGTCTATCAGTTAGATTGTATTGAACACTTTTTTTCACATGACCAAAAAGTTACAGAGATACAAGTTTTGGTATAATTTTTCACTTAGAAGTGACGTCACGAGCCCCGCACTCCCAAACTTTGACGCGCTTTATCTTTGCCAATTATTTGGTTGATTGACAAAACAAAAATAAATGTCCATTCTTTTTTGATAATCTAACTGAAGAACTAAATAGAATATCGTTTACTTTACGTCGTCATCATCCCTATTCAATTGTTACATTAAAACAATTTGTTCAAATATTGTGTGCTAAAAGAACATCAAAAATTTGGAACAACTATTAAAGTAACCGTAGTAAATTTATGTTAACGTATTTCATTAAGTACCAAAGGTTGCTAATGATTCAACAATAGCAACTGATATAACAATATAAGTAATAAAGTGAATTTATAAACTAAACAAGATCTTTACACTCGTGATGACTCATCAACGAGATACTTTAACGGTTAAAGTTTAACCGGATCAACAATATTAAGGAGACTTTTTCATTCAGTTTATTTTAACAGACGTGATATAGTGTGTGAAACATGACGACTGCTTTGATGAGTAACAAAACAATGCTTATGAGGATGTGATGGAAAAATTGAATAAGGAAGTATCCGAATCTTTAATAACATGTGGGATGCAGGTGTTCAAAAACATGTACTTATTCCAAATAATGGACGCATTCATGAAAGTTTATAAATATAATTTAATTTTACGTGTAACGTTGTGTCTAGTCCACTATACCGAATAAAAATATCAAGTTTGTCCTTTGAGCTCAATGAATGAATTTGTGAAGAGGCGGCGACGGTGCCTCGCGCTATTACAATAATAATTGTGTTCAAGGCAAGAAATATGGATAACTGTTTTAGTAAAAACTGTGCTACAGGCGAGTTACATAATGTTGACGTCATCGAATATGAATGGCAACAAAAAAAAGACAACAAATTAAATATGCCGCCAGTCTGAGAGCGTTTATCAAACAAGATGTTATTGCAGCAACAAAAAATACTACCTGCGTTTGTACGTTAAGAACTCTACAGAGTTTGCAGCAGTTATGAGTATTTTAAGTATTTGAAGGCAATACTCGGGGTTTTTTGAATAACTTCACGGTAACCACATTCATGATGGCGCTGTCACTGTGATTTGTGATAATGATCTGTTGATTGCAGTAAACATAAAATTGATTAGTTTCCTTCCAAGAAGAACCATTAGCATTATGTTAGCGGTTAAATTAATAGAATACCAAATTTAATGCCATTAACATTTTTTAGTGTTAAAGTAACATTTTTATTATTTATTTTTAATATGACAACATAGCTAAACGTGTTTTTATTAGATAATAAGGCAGATTTTAGTCGTAATACAACTACAGCAGGTAGTATGTTGTAGTTAAAAATAATACTATTTAATTTATGTAATGTGACAAGGATAACCACAAGGCATTTATATAATCGACTGATGTCGAATCGTACACTATTAAAAAAACTGTCCACACCTTCACTCGCCTCGTAGTATATACACCCAGTTTTTGATGAATCACTAGTTCTCTACAAACATTTATTATTAAACTTGTAAACACAAGCGCGTGTATCTTAATAAAGAGAGTACCTACTACGTACGGAAGTATTTATAATAATTTCAACATTACACAAAGAAACGAAAATAGTACTGTTTTCGACTGAATCATTTTCGGGTTTATCCAGTTTGGCATTTGTTATGACTTTAACTATGAAATATAAATTAAATAATAATAGTATAGGCGTTCCGTGTAGTTTTGCTTAACTAGCCAAGATGTAGGACCAAATTTATAACAAACCTGCGAGTATTCTGGTGAAGGCGGTCGGGCAGGGTACTTGGAAGCCATTCGAGCACCAGCACCACAGCCCTGCGCGGGGGCAGGCGCCTCATCCTCCGGGTAATACAGATGCACGAAATCCTCCGTGTCCAAATACGTATTGATCAACATAATCCACACCGACCACAAGGTACAAAACCAACAAATAAATAACTTAAACTCAGTCTAACACTGATCAGACTTTAGCACCACCAACTATTCAATATACACTAGTTTAACGATAAGGAAGCACACCATCGAAACATGTCCGATTTGTAACGTTCCATCTTTAAGTCTACGCTTATCATAATAAAATAAATAAGTTTAAATAACACTACACTTGTATAAAATCACATTTGTCTGGCGACCACACAGTTATCTACTGAAAATGAAAATTACTAACGTCACTTTTTGTACGGGTGACAAAATCGGCCAGTTACATATCTTCGACCTCTTTACCAGTGATTTCGAAACTATGTACGTACATGTATTCTTTTTCATTATCTTATCACTATCAATCTTATTACCATTAAGGACACACACTTTAACGTTTGATATTTTTCAGTATTATCTTTTATTTAAAAAAAAAAACTTTAATCAATACTATGTAACTACATGAACGAACTGAGGTCTACAGACTGTAAAAGGCCTTGATCTTTGTTTTTTTTTTTAAAGTTTTTAAAGCGATCAATTCGCAATTTCAATGACGGTTTGACGTCAATCATAATAATATGGCGCTTGATGGATATGTATAGTATACTTATCATTCGATCGAAACGATATAAAAAAGAGTGCGCGTGTATTAATATTTATCAGTTTTAAATGTGTCATCATTGTGTAGGTAAACAACATTTTCCTACCTTGGAAAACCATTTCTAAACTATCGTTATATTAGTCATCTTGTCTGGCTTCTAAGTATTTTTTAACTACCAACGGATAAGAAGCTAATATAGTCAAGGTTCACTATTCCAAATAAAGAAAACGTTAGCTGAACTAGTGTTATTAATTACGATACCTATTGTAAACATTTCTAAAAAGCGCATCCTGATGACCAATAATTATGATTTAACAAGTATTTAATTTAGCATTTGAAACAACTGCTAGAATTACGCAAATTTATAAAGTAGTCATCATCATTAATGTATTAAGAATACATTTATGGCACTTGACAAATGCACTAATGCATGCAACTCCTAGTAAGAAGTACAGCCACATCTCGAATATGCGCAAAAGTGAAAATTATCTAGCAAGTGAATGCGATTCACTATCGGATGCTACCATACACTATAAACCAACATAGTCGTCATCGTGACTTGTGTATCAGAATGATGTAGTAGGATAGAATTGATGATTATATGACATGGGACTGGGTGCCAACTAGGATTACCAACTTTGTTTCTATCAAATATAGTATTTTCGAAGCTGTTACCTCTAAAAATATAGTAGATGGCAAAAAATAGAAAAAAAAAATAGTAAGTATGTGGTTAAGGGCCCCTTTACCCGAAAGTTTAGGCATTTTACGCACAAAGACGGCTTGCGCCCGCGTTGCGCGGGAGCCGTCGCGATTTGAACTCCGGTGACCTTTGGAGGCGGGCGAGCACACCACAGTATAAATAAATCAGTAGATCAACTTTATTGGCTATCCTAGGAATGTTGTTAGATATGATTTGATGAGTATTATAATGAAAGACAAGCATGATAAATAGCCTCTTATAATTACAATACAAATTTGGACTACATTACATTTGTAAATTATATACATCTCAACATAGTTAAAATAATATTTAATTCAGAAAATATGGAAGTTGGGATTTTTGGATGGATATTTGTTACACTTACACTCCTAAGCAACTGAACGGATTTGGGTTATGGCTAGGATTGCAACGATATATCGTAATATCGAGACCAAAATATCGATATTTAAAATTCACTGATATCGATAATATCGATATCAGTGAATTTTAAATATATATATTTAAGTAATGAAATTTTCGATAATATCGATATCGGAAATTCCAAAATATCGATATTTCGTAGACTAAATTTGAACACAATAATATCAATTAATTTACCTGCTATGACTATCTAAATTAAAATAATATCGAAATAACTATTGCTTTGAAATCGCAAGAGCTTATAGATGTATTAAAATAATCTTGAACCCCAAGAAATATACTAAACTGGTGTGGATTCTGGCATGATTCTCTAAATCTAAAATTAAATTTGACAACAGTGTATCCTTGTCATTCTCTATACAGAATGAAAAGGAGAGACTGATGTTTAGTTTTAAGTTTAGATAATCATGCCAGAATCGACACCAACGTATATAGGTATAATCGTATACCTAATGGTAACTCATGCACTTAAATAAAATCCTTGCCTCTCTTTCTAGATAATTGTCAACTACTGATTAATTGAAATTTAATATCATTGTAATATAACACAAAATAAAATTAAGAATCTTATACAAATCGTACTTTTTTTTAAGCTCGCCAAGTCAAGAAAGTAAGATAGGTATAGTAATTTTGGAAGCTTTGGGCTTACCCTATTCTGAAGCCATGGGCACACCCCTGATGTTTTAACATTTTAAACAAAATAAATATCTTTGATTAGAAATTGCTTTTGATTTGATACTTCTTACAGCGCTATAAAATATAGAAAATATCTATAAACATCGTGTTGAAAATGTTGGAATGGCTGATATATCGGATCGGATATCGATATTTAGCCGCCCACATTATAAATATCGATATTTTGGAAACCTTTACTTCCTTAATTTTAGGTTTTTGCTTTACAAACTTAATTCAAAGCAAAAAAGAAAAAAATATAAAAGAGATAATATCGAGTTAAAATCGTCGATATATCGGATATCGATATTTTCCTGACTTCGATATAAATATCGATATTTCAAAAGACTTTTCATCCCTAGTTATGGCACATAGATGAGGCACTGCTTCATTTCACTGCTGGGGACGGATCACCATTTGAGATATGTAGTAACAAAAAATTAAAATTCTTTAAATTTAGTTCTCGTGTGCTAGGTCCAGGTTCATTTTCATTGTCACATATATTCCTCAATGCTGGGCGTGAATCTCCTGTAAGAGGGTGGCGCTCCTCTTCGTGTTGGGGACTAGGATCTGTAAGCAAATCAGGATTTTTTTGTGTTAGAGGCTCCTCATTTTCCTTATTTTCAGATGGTATGTTTTCTTCAAGTGTCAGATTTCTTATGCCCATACCACGCGTATGTCTGGGATTTACAATTTCAGGAAGTAGACATTTATGGTAAAACTGTATTAATTTGGATTCCATCTTTGATTTCCAAAATACGTCATCTTTTTTAATTATTTCGATGTGCACTGGCTCTTTTTCTCCGGCCCAAATACCAAGTAGACATTTCCTTCGTCTTGCTACATGCAATTGTCCCTGTATTTGGTAAAACCAATTACTATTTTGATTAATTGTTGCAGTGCGTGTTTTTTTATTAAATTTTAATATTTGTATTTTATTTTCTTCAATAGCTCTTTTCATGCCAAGTTTTGATGCTGAAAAAGGACATTTGACTTCGACCAGAATGTCATTTCCGATGAGCCCATCTGGCGTGGCACCAATGAAAGGGAAATCTTTATCTATAAACAGTCCACAGGGCTCAATAGACACGCTTTCTTGTTGTTGTATCTTGTGCAGCGCTTGCTGCTCATTTTCAATACCATAAGCAATGGATGCAACATGGCTTAAATTTGTTTTATATAATATATTTTTAACCAGTGGTGCGGTGCCTTTTGATACTTGCCTCTTGCAAATAGGGCCGAAATTAGAGGCAGTAATAAGATTTTTTCGAATCTCTAGCCATTCGCTACTGTCTCTTTGTAATATTGTATTACGCTCAATCGCATCCTTGTCAGCAGTAAGAGTTTCTAAATTTTTTAGAAATTCTTCTTTAGCTAATTCCAGTTCAGACTGGGACATGTCCGGATCTAAACTGGCGGGGCCGTAGTCATTTTGTTTTTGTTTCGCGTCTGCCAATTTCCTGATTTTCCTTTTTACGGGACGTTCTGAGCAGTTCTTCCTTTTCTGGGCTTTTTCCCTTTTCATTTCCACAACTTCAGCTAATCCAACTTCGGGTAGATTTTTATTTGTTAATGTGTTTTGCACATACGATATTGCTGATTTTTCATTAAATTTTACCACCGCAGCATTACACCTTCCTTGGTAGCCTCGTTTCAAGGCAAAATTTATTCGCTTTCCTCCTATAAATTTCGCAATAACATTATTGAAACATTCGACAATATTAGTATTCACGTTTTCTATTAAACTTCGTGATTTTACTGCCACATTCGAAATAATAGAATTCATCCGGAACAGAAATGTTGAATTCTGAATGGATTTCAGTCCGTCGCTATAAACTTTTTCTTTGTCACAGTTATAATCCTGACACATTCTGTGATCGCCGTATGCATGCGCTACAGAATTGATTATTTCATTGTGAAGAATAGTTATAGCATCGTCCTTTGGATTTTTATTGTGGTGTACAACTGACCTTACTATTGCTTTCCTCATGGACATAATTTTTACCACAGTCAAAGTTTTTCGGTGAGCTAAAGAGTATTTTGTTTCTGAAACTAGACTACGTAATTTTTTGCATAGATTTCTCAAAATGTGGTTTCTACATTCAATTTTTTCCACTGTAATATTTTGGTCTTTATATGGATTTTCTTTTAGCACTTTTGCGTATGTCGAGGCGTCGCCGTCTGCAATCATTCTTTTATAAATTACGCCATACATGGAAATGGATAGTTTGAAACCTTCGGCAATTATTTCACCCTCCATAGAACACGACGAACCATCGAAATTTTTGAAACATTTGTGCTCCTTAGGAGCGACATTTTTGTTTTCTGCGCGGGCGCACACGAGGCAGTATTTATTTTTTACAGCCAGAAAAATTATTTTGCCCGTTCTTCTACCGATTATTGCCGCAGTTCCAGATGCAGCTTTATAATTTGATCCGTACGATCTAGCACACCAAGAAGCATCGACATAAACATCAATTACTGGTATGCCATTTTTGGTGCGACCTTCTTCGATGGCCAATTTTTTTTCTTCTTCTGCAGCATCTTGCATCGATTCGGCTGCTG